TAAAGGATCAGTTCCACTTTCCAGTGCAGGGACCGAGAAAAGTTCAATGTCGAATCCAAGAAAGACTTCCTGTATTTATATTTTCTCTATTGCGTGTAAATATTGTGTGTTAAGTATATGACTCATTTATTAATTTTAATTTCAAAAGCTTACGATGTTAATTGACATCAAGATATCAACTTTTACAGGCAAATTCATATGATTGTCATTTTAAGGATGAAAGAATGTGTTTAGAGCTCTGAATCTGTGCTACCTCTAATATAAAATGGTAGGAAAAGGTTAACTTTAGTTGAAGTCTCATGTCTCTACGACCTTTACTGAGCAATGGTTGAGACGCGACCGCGCCTTAAAATGGAGGCGCAGAGACATGTTGATGCTAAGGTCGTTAGAGACATGAAACCTTGACTAAAGTTAACCTTTTTATCACATTTATATTACCACTCCATTGCTTTCGCGACCCTATCTAGACGTTGTAAAGGTCAAAAACGGCAATTTTAAGAATTTTACCTGTATAAGCACCTCAAAAAATTAGGGCGTGGCATGTGCAGTCCCATCCCGGACGAGTTGGACCAAAAAAATTTTTTTGGGGGGTGTTTAAGCCATGGGATCAATGTTTGAGCTTATACTCAGGGCAAAATTTGAGAAATTTTGGTTTTTTTGAACCAACCTAATATTGGCCTGTAATTATTAGGATCATCTTTCATTCCTGCCTTATGGATGGGAGTTACTCTAGCTTTTTTTACAAAGGGTTGGTACAACACCTGTATTAAGGCTCAAATTGACAATATGGGTCAGTGGCTCAACTATGTGTGGTACAGCTTGCTTAAGTAAAAATAGAGGCACATCGTCATATGAGGCCTTGTCATTCTTGAGTGTTTCGACATACATTAGGATATCAGTTTCATTTATTTCTTGGAATCTATCAAATGAGATGTTAGAAGTTCTAGGAGGTAAAAATCAGTAAAACTAACTCTTTCAATATTGGGGGCCTGATTTTGCAATCTTGATCCAACATTTGCAAATGAAGTTAAATAGCTCAGGATCATTCATTGATAGTTTGACAATTAGTTGACCAGGGGTCATATTTGATGCCAGTTTTGATAGTTTTCCATACCCCTTTAAGATCATTCTTGCACTTTTAACTTGTAGATCATCGATTACATTAGCCTTTTTGCAGGTTTTAGCTAATTATTTCTAATATTTCTCTGAATTCTTGTAGCAATCCCAGGCCCTCATTACACTTTATACATTTGCTACATATACCACATTTATTGCAATTTCCATTGTCTCTCTTATCCTTCTTTTTACGGAATTTCTTTAGAGAGAAAATGTGTATGATTAATGGCATTTAAAAGTTCAGTAGAAGGTTTATGTATGAACTTTTCATGCCTTTCTATGGTCTTGCAAGGAAGAAGGTTGCATATGCCTGTTCAATATGATGACAAAGGCCAGCAGTGATAGCTTCAACATCTGTACTTCCAATAGTGGACTGTAATCAGAACAGGTATCTAGATAGTCTAAGAATTGTTTAACATTACGTTTACAATGATTTCTAATTTCAACCTTTTCAAATTTAGGAGCTATAGGTACTTTACAATCTATCTCACACATAATAGCTTGATGATCCCCAATACGTTCATCAAGAACAGAAGATTGAACAAAATCTGCATAACAGTTAGTGAATATTACATCAATAGTAGTCTGGGTAAAATTGTCTCCACGTTTAGCAACTCTAGTTATCCCTTGAATGGTTTGAACTAGATTGTAACATCTCAAGGTCATATCTAATTTTTTGTACTGGGTGGATGAGATATTATTCTGGTCAATGTTTATATCCCCAATCCAGATAACCTTTTTCCCGTTCAATTTTTTCATGCAAAAATGAATGTACTCAATAAAGTTATCAACACTGCAATAATTTCCAGAGCGATAGAAGCAGCAAACATTGATCTTGCTATTCTTAAGCTTCACCCATAATGCTTCAATGTTATCAAGCTTACTATCCATAACTAATTCTGTGTAAGCTAGTTTTTTGTTTATCATTAAGCCACAACCACCCCTAGAACTGTTTGGCCTGTCGCATCGCATAATGTTGAAGGAGGAAGGAATATTTATGGTGTCTGTGTCAATAGTATCATTAAGATTCATCTCATTTAGGGAAAGTATGTCTAGCTTATGATCTCGAATGAGTTGAGTAAGTTCATTACTTTTAGCTAAATTTAGGAGACCACCTTGAATGTTACAGTGACCAATGCAAAGGTTATGAAATTTGTCAGCTGAGTTGTGAATATTTGTCATTTCACAAAACGTGTTGGTCGTTGTGTCTGATTAAACTAAAATCAGGTGAAAATTATCCGCCTGTAAATATTTTCAATAGAAAAGTTTTAAACTTGAAATCAAAATAAATATTCAGGTGGAAATGTCATGTCGATTTCAATGGTGAGCATGGTACTTGATGTGCTTTGCTAGTTTAAAGATACCATCGCTGTTTAGATGCACATTGTCTTCCCCAAATCTACTAAAACAAGATGATTTCCTAAATCCAGATCTATCACTAAACAAAAATCGATTCTTCTCTGTGGGTATAAAGCTAACAAACGAGTATTTGGAAGGAATCTTAGATAAAAAGATATTGATGTCATTTATCACTTTATTTCTAGCAAAACTTTCTCTTGGTAAAATGTTTATGATCTTAATTTTTGCAGCTGGAGCCCACGAGTGAAGTGACTGGATCAGATTATCAATAGAGCGATTGGTGTTATCAAGGGCCTTTGCTTTTCCTGTGAACTCATCGGGTGACAATAATCTATTCCTCATGTGTCGAGGACTCTCTAGGATTAAGTCCACATCATTAGTTCCACACATGAGTACGATGGTCTTCACATTATTTGCATCAATTGACCTCTTTCTTTCATCTGAGTGGAAGCGTTCATTGATACCGTTTGCAATGCCACCAGGATAGTGAAATACATGTGCTTCTTGATGAGCAGAGGATAGTTTTGTAGCATCTAACTTGGAGAACATGCTTGAGCTAACATACACAGCAAGGGATTTGCTTTTGACTGAAGCAGGGGGTACGGTGCTCTTATGAGTGATTTTGTTGGGTGATGATTTCCCTTTGATTGAGGGTTCAGTTTCTCTTACAGTAACGAAAGGCTTACTTGAGGTATCGGGTGGAGCAGACAAGGTTGCACTGCCATCAATCTGGCGCAGAGTAATGCTAATTCTCATGTCATCAGTATGGTCCTGAATAAGGCTGTGTTCAAAGCTGTCCTGAGATTTTCTGGTCATAATCATTATGTCGCCATGGGAGAGAGTAAGATTGGCAACGTGGACTTTGCTTTTAGACCTAAAACTGAGGACTCTTGTTGCTCCTAACGATATGGTGGAAATCATGGAGCCTGGTGATATGGACCTCTCATCATCTGAATGGAATGGTATTCCTTGCTTGCCATTTTCATACTTGCCATTTTCATACCCTAGTGATCATGGCGCTGTTAAATTTCAGACTTGGGAACTGTGAGCGTAAACGTTCTAAAATAGACTTTAATAAGGGATTGTCATTTAACGGCCTTGTGTTATGGAAGCCTCCATTGTAGGCATATGGGAAATCCCCATAGTATGCTACAGTCCTATTGTTAAACGTTTGTGTGTATTGTGTTTCCATATCCAACTTGAGAGTATCAACAAACCTGAATACACCTCGACTCAAATCATGATATGGATTGATGGACTTACCCACAACGTTAACACTGGTTGAAGATTGTTTGTTAACATCAGAAGAATTCACAAGAGATGGGTTGCTATTAAGTTCAGTCACACTGCTAACTTCACAGTTTTGAGTTTCTGATTCATGTTCAGAGATAAGAACATTGTCCCCGCAAGAGAATGGAACCGCAATTTTGTCATGGCCTGAGCCTTGGGTAAGTTTGGTTAGACGAGCAATTTGTCTCCTCAAATTGTCGTTTTCAAGACTTAGTGATACACAGGTAGAACATTTTGCTTTTGCACTGTTAGGTCTGTCACGAAGGCTGTAATTTCTGATTGGGATACCGGACATAGTTCAAATAAACACAATAATGCAAAGAATTCAGGATAGAGTCTAAAACCGATGCTACTGTTTATAGTTATTTAGTTGTTGATTACAGTACCTTTGCAGCAATTCAGAAGATGGGAATGAGTGGTGTCTGATATTCTTTAGGTGATGGATAGGTGATAGGTGATAGATGGGAGTTAACAGCTCTTTAAAACGATGTCTGATAGTCTTTAGGATGTCTTTAAATAAACTATCATGCAACAACCATTTACATCGACATACAACCTGTAATGGTTGCTACATTTGATTGAGGTGTTAATTCCCACTAGGGGTCCTCAAATTATTTGTTATATAGTAGTGTTGAAAGTATTAAAAAAAAAATGGTCGCAACATATTAAGGGGGCAGGGGGGGGGGGGGGGGGGGGGTCTTTATGAAAGTTTCAAGGTGATTGCTAAAAAATGTAGGAGAAGATAGATTTTTAGACTCAATTTTCAGGGCACGCAATTGAAAATCGCTCACGCGATACAATTACACATGAGCGCAGACCTTTGACTGGCAATAGCTTCGGCTAGGAACAATAGTTTTCCATGGAACCAAAAGCAGCAGATAGATATCACTCCCCTCTATCTGAAACAACTATAAAATCAATTTTGAAAGAAATTTTATAAAGACCCCCCTGCCCCCCCCCCTCATACCCAAAATAATTACCTCAATCGGGCAATCAGTGACTGAGCTATTATAAAGGCCAACGTATGTAACGTTACTTTTGGCCCCCCCCCCCCCCTGTTAAAAAATTTCATAATCAAACAAAATTTCAGTCACTCTTTAAATAATTGAGATATACAGGTGCACTGTATATGTAAATTACAGCTAAGGGGGTTTATCCCCTTAGCTTCAATTATTATTATCTTTATTTATATATAAAACTGATGATGTGTGAACTGTAAAACATACTTCAATCTTATACTATTTACTAGGGATGACAGCATGTAGGTTGTTGGTTATTTTGCAGCTCTGTATTGCAATAGTGTGTGGACGAATCCACAATATAAACATAGTATCCGATAGGAGAGAAATAATACCACTTGCCAACTTTGGGCTTACAAAGGATGGCTTTGTTGACTTCCAAGTCACAGATTTGATTATAAAAGACAATATTGATGCAAAATATGGTGAGAATAACAATATTCATTGCACCGATACAATAAATTGATTGGCTTGAACTTAAATATATCTGGATCTTTTGTGAAGCAGTTTAACCAAATAATTTCTATTACAGGGATTGTTGTGGAAAGTTCCCAAACCCAGACAGCATCACAATATGTGGAGACACACATTAACATCTGCAGACCCAAGTCCATAGCTTTCTTTGATAAGCATCCAAAGATATTGAACTTGGTTAGTGAATATTGAAATATATATACAGGGTGGCCCAGAAGTAACTGCCCACACGCAACCCTTTAATAACTCACGTAATTCTTCTTAGAATTGCACAGAAATTTCAGAGATTATAGATATGGTATGGGTCAAACTTAAGTTTCTAGACACATTTTGTTTAATAATTGAAGTGCTTTCCCAAAATTTCAAGTTGGTCGTTCACAATTTAACCGAGTTATGACCCTTTTAAGATCTTGCAGATACGTGACCCATCACTAAATCAGTGATATCTTCACTCAATCAATGCCCTGATTTGTTGGAGACTGCTCATGCTTATAGGACAGCAACCGAAGCGCGTCACTATCAGTATTCACTCAAAGTGATCAGATCGTCATCCACCAACATGCTCGTTACCGCCTAATGAGGCTCATTGTTGCTTGCTAGCAACCAACTTGAAATTTTGGGAAAGCACTTCAATTATCAAACCAAATATGTCTAGAAACTTTGAAGTTCCTAGCTGAAAGCGTTGTCACTTTATGCTGACAATAGCGAAAAAAAGGGATTGGCGTGCCACACCCACTGTAATTAATTAAATTTGACAAAACTTTCAGGAAATCTAAGTTTGACCCATATCTATAATCTCTGAAATTTCTGTGCGATTCTAAGATAAATTGCATGAGTTATTAAAGGGTTGCGTGTGGGCAGTTACTTCTGGGCCACCCTGATTTTTTTGTGAAATTTGATTTCGAGATAGCATAAAGATTAGACATAAAATGACTGAGTTATGAGCCAAAAAACATATGCCCATATTTGGACATACGCACCAAATTTGATTGATTTTGGCCCATAAATTGGTCAAATATCAATATTTTTGAATGAAACTAACTTTATATAAAAGGTAAGCCTCAACTACACGCCATTCTCTATGATTATCAGCTCAATATCTATCTAACTGTGGATTCTGTGTTCAAATAATCGCAAAAAACTTAACAAAATCGCCCATATCTCAGTTCGCGATATTTTGGAACTGATTTCGCTCAAAACAATAGAACTCAATAGGGTTTCAATACTTTTTCATGAAATTTTCAGAATCAACGTAGAATTGCTAATGACATTAAGTTCAGGGTACCATAGCTACAAGTAGAGCACCTAAAATCTGGGTTTTGAGCATGTTAAGGTGATTTGGCATAATTGGGACCAAAAATGGGCGTGACTGTCCCGTAAGCACCGGTGGGCACCCGGAGCTGAGTCCGGAACCCCCTCAAAAGTTCGGTCACAGGCCATGTAGTTGGTCAATTGCTATCTCGAAATCAAATTTCACAACAAAATCAGGGTGATTTTTATTTTTTTAAATTATCTTAAAAGAGAATAAAACTTGCAAGCTCACGAAACAGCTACTACATGCCGAAACAAAACGGTACATTGTACAATAAGTGCGTGTTTGGATGCACTCGATTATATAATGTATATGTTATATGTATATGTTATATGTATATGTTATATGTATATGTTATATGTATATGTTATATGTATATGTTATATGTATATGTTATATGTATATTGTATATGTTATATGTTATATAGACGGGAAATTGGGCGATGAGGTTTGGCCTCTATACGGCCACTATATGGCCCCTACACGGCCACTATACGGCCTTTATACGGCCACCTAAAAAGAACATCATATTATAGCCATTATTATATGATCATTATATGGCCACTAAGCAAGTTACCACTTAACAAATAACCGCTTGCAGTTTACCGCAATACAGCCGCAACGCTCGGTTTGATGCGTTAATCTTGTCGCATCACCAACGAGGCCGAAGGCCGAGTCGGTAATTACGACAATTAACGCAGAAAACCTAGTGTTAATTCTATCAGGAGAGCATGAACTTTAATTCAAACCTGTAATTTCATTTAACTGCTAGAAATGTGTATTAAATTATGTATCTTATTGTAATTGTGTATTGATTGGGATTTATTATGATATCATTATATTACTATTCTAAATTAACCGAACTTCAATATCGGTAAACTGCAAGCGGTTATTTGTTAAGTGGTAACTTGCTTAGTGGCCATATAATGATCATATAATGGCTATATGATGTTCTTTTTAGGTGGTCGTATAAAGGCCGTATAAAGGCCATATAGAGGCCATATAGAGGCCGTATAGAGGCCGTATAAAGGCCGTATAGACGCCGTATAAAGGCCGTATAAAGGCCGTATAGAGACGCCGTATAAAGGCCGTATAGAGGCCATATAGAGGCCGTATAGAGGCCGTATGGTGGCCGTATAGTGGCCGTATAGAGGCCAAACCTAATCGCCCATTTTCCCATATGGTCACAGGTCACAGGTCACTCATATGGTGTTGAAACGTAATTTGTATCTGTTATCGAAAATGTTCTATTTTACAGCGCCATAGCTTTGAAGTTTGAATGTATTAGGAATCGCATTTTTACTTCATGAGGCATGAGTATAATAATTGTTCACCTTTTGCTTCCAATATCCTACACAGATGAAAGTTAAGTTAAAATTTGGGAATTTTTACTTGAATCACAAGTAGTTACACGAATCTTAGGTATGATACAGTAAAATCCCTATTTACAGCACACTTATAGTTTGGGGGACAGGAAAAAAATACGGTAAACCAGGGACTTTGAGTCCCTGTCGGATTTCATGGTTTCTCTCCGCAGAGTTTCCCAGCTGACGACGATTAACACATGTTTATTGAAAGCTTCTACAAGTTAAATCATCGTATCTCTTATATGTTTTTAACCCAAATCCACTCAGTTCCCAATTAGGGGTTATGGTTCACAACCGCTTTAGTAAGGGGCAATTAGAGGAAGTAACGAGCCTGACAAGCTCGCTCGACATTGCATCCCATTTATATTATAAGCTGTATTTCCAAGGCCAAGATCACGTGAGATTTAATTAAAAATTTAGACATTTTTAATTTTGGGGAAAGGCAAGAGGTACTGAGTATGGTAAATCAAGGTACGGTCAATCGGGAGTTTACTGTATCCTGAAGTTATAACTCATCAGAGCATGCACAATTCTCGTTAATTCTTGTTAATTCTCGTTAATTCTAAAGTTCTAAAAATAAGTTCCAACTTCCATCTCAATTCTTATGGTTTCATAATGGTTAAGTGTTATCACACAGCCCTTGCCCTTTTTCAGCTATTGGATAAAGACGATCCTCCCAAGCTGATAAATGAAGATATGTCCCAGTATGGAGCTGTAAAGTGGGACATTTCCAATTTGAAACTCACAGATTTATTGTGAGTTAAAAAAAGTTTTAATACAATGCTTCTGTACTGGTAAAGAAATGCTGTGTTTTTTTAACAGTTTCTCATTATTGATTTGTGAGATGAAAATTTTATGAACATTGAACATTTTGTTACGAAGGTTGCTCTTTCTCAAGTTTTATAATTATTTCAGGACAGAAAATACAAGTCCAGATGCTTTGTTCAAAGTTGAGCATTCACCTACCAACAATTCATATTCATTTCATTTCCAGCTTGAGGTTTGTTTTATAATTTCAATTTATTACTGATCGACCCACTCAAGAGAGCGAAAACAGATTATCATTATTTCTGATACTTTGAAAAAAAAAAACAACATTAAAGTCTACTGAATATACTACTAGCTGAATATACTACTAGCTGAATATACTGATCGAGTATTTGACAGCCTGTTATAGGTGAAATTATAAATTATTACCTGATTAATAGAATATAATAATTTATTATTACGTATTATTACGTATTATTATTAATAGAATATGTTTCAATATCATGTTGATTACATTCATTTATATCATATTATGATACAAATGTTTTTTTTATAATATTCGAACATTATAATTTTCGGTCTTTTTTGCAGGTTAAACCGGAAGACGAAGGACAGTTCACATTTTATTTCTACCGATGTCCGAGAGAGCCCACAAGCTACCGAACAACAGTGGACTACCTTTTCAGTGCCGTCATCACAGCAGTAAGTCTTTCTCAGTGATGCAACTTTCGATGTTTTCGATGATCTGAGTCAAATTTCATCTAAATTATAAACGGTAATCCAAGAGTTATGGTTGTGTGTTCTAAGATCAGCATGGCTAGATCTTTACTATTACAATGATCTGAGAACCTTAATCTTTCATGTTTACCATATTTCATCTGATCATAACAATAAGTTTCAAGATGTTGTGTTGATATATAAACGTAAGGTATTGCTGTTATGTTAATGAACAATGTTTCAGAAAAATGGAGAATCATTCCTCTCTGCAGGTGAAAAGCCCCTGACGTTCCTCTACACTGTTATGGGTATCGTCTACTTCGGAATGTTCTGGTTGTGGATGAAAGTTATGATCCATTACTCCGATAACTTATTCAAGGTAATCTTCCTGTTCAAATGAATTTTTATCAAATTTCTTTGAAGGTCCATTCTTGGGGGTCCTTCATTAAGCACTATTGAGTCGTTATACTAATTTTTACAGATCCTTCACACAATACGCTAGTAATATTTATTGGCAGAAAATAAACCCGAAGAATGAAGATGCACCTATGTTTATCTAATTTATTGCTGTCACGATCATGATCAGTCATAAATTCTTGCTAATTTCAGATCCACTACTTGATGGCCGCACTAGTGTTTGCAAAGTTCCTGGCCTGCATTCTGCACGCTATTGATTATTACTTTATTGCCTCGCACGGCACTCCTGATGAAGCCTGGGCTATACTCTGGTATTTACTAATAAATAATCCTTGTAATTAAGGGGGGGGGGGGGGGGGGGGGGGGTTCTCCATGTTTTTTTTTGTGAGACTTGTATTCGAGATAACAGTTGACCAACAAACTAGAACCTCCGACCAAACTTTAAGGGGGTCCAATCTCGGGTGCCCGTGGTGCATGCCCATATTTGGTCCATTTTTGGCCCAATTATGCCGAATCAGCTCAACATGCTCAAAACCCAGATTTTGGGTGTTCTACTTGTAGCTAGTGCAATGGTCTCCTGAACTACGTACATTTTTTATCCGGATTGGACAAAAATGGCTAAATTATGAGCCAAAAACCTGAAACCATATATAATGCCCTTAAAGAGAGACTTTACATCAAAGGAAAGCCTAAACTATATAGTATATATACATCTCTGTAATCTATTGGGTGGTCATCGAATTATTTTTAGTTTCTTGGATTTACAAAATTTTGGTATCATTAGTTAGATATAGCCATGCTGATCTCAGAACACACAGCCATAATTCTCGAAAATCTTGGATTCCTGAGGTATTGCCTTTTGAAAACTGCCTTGAATCAAAAAAGTGTCCGAAAAAAAAGGCATTATTTTGCTGAAATTTGGGCTCAGCGCCGGACTGTTTTCAAAAGCTCATAATAAATTTCATTGAAACAATACAACCGTGCTTTAGGAAAAATACTTCTCACATCGTGCAGATATTCTACAGCTTTTGTGCATATTATATATGTATGTACTATTCCTACACCCCTGCATGAAACTTTAAGAAAAGTGGTTTCCAGGACAACTTTGAATTTTAAATCCGAGTCTTTCTCGATACGTACCTCCGAAAGCAGGCTCCCCGCTTCTGAGCTCGCATCACAAAGGTCTTATATGAAGGAGTAGGTGCGGACATCGAAATGGCATGGCACCCCGTCTCCCGGTCCTAGTTTGTTGGCACCTGGTGCGGGGGGGGGGGGGGGGGGTGCAAGTACCTGGTGGAGAAAAGTTTCACCATAAATTGAGGGTAAACCCACTTAATACATTGCTTAAGTTTTTTGTTTGGGTGTTAACTGCATAAACTAATCAGCAAGTTCAATATAGGATTTTATTTCAGTACTGTATGTTTATTTTTTTTAATTTTTTTTATCTCACACTTATTTTACTTCGGAGTATTCCAACAGCCACAATGTTACACAAGTGTAACTAGCCAATTACAGGAAGCCGAAGGATTTAATTAGGCCAGTGATTATGTGGAGATTTTATATAATTTAGAACTAAAAATGATTCTGAGTAGAGTTAATTTATGTGTATGACAGGGCCTGAGTAGAGACCACCGTGTATTTGTATAACTGGAAGTATAACGTATTTTCAGGTATATTATACATCTCGTTAGAGGAATGTTACTGTTTATCTCGCTAGCGCTCATTGGGATGGGGTTCGCTTTTATAAAACATGTGTTGTCTTACAACGAGAAGCTAGTCCTCATGACAGTCGTTCCATTACAGGTAATTGTAGCAGCTTAAAATTATTGTATTTAAACAAGAATTGAATACAAACACAAATAAAGATTAGTTCGAGGCACAAATACAGGGTGGCTCAGAAGTAACTGCCCACACGCAACCCTTTAATAACTCATGTAATTCTTCTTAGAAATGCACAGAAATTTCAGAGATTATAGATATGGGTCAAACTTAGATTTCCTAAAATTTTCATAAGGGACGGGAGCTCTTGCTAAAGGGGGTTCTCGTATCAAGGGATGTGAGACGTACGGGCCAAAGGCATGCAAGGGGAGTGAGCCGATCAAGTGTTCTTAGGTATATAATATCACGTATCTGCAACGTATCTGCAAGATCTTAAAAGGGTCATAACTCGGTTAAATTGTGAACAACCAACTTGAAATTTTGGTAAAGCACTTCAATTATTATACAAAATGTGTCTAGAAACTTTGAAGTTCCTAGTTGAAAGCGTTCTCACTTTATGGTGACAATAGTGAAAAAGAGGGAGTGGCGTGCAACACCCACTGTAATTAATTAAATTTGACGAAACTTTCAGGAAATCTAAGTTTGACCCATATCTATAATCTCTGAAATTTCTGTGCAATTCTAAGACGAATTACATGAGTTATAAAAGGGTTGCGGTTGGGCAGTTACTTCTGGGCCACCCTGTACCTATATTAACGTAAATGAACATCAAATTAACATCAACTAACATACATTAACATGAATGAAAATAAATAAGCTCACCGCAAGAATAACGTAGGAGCTTAAAATTGACAGAATCTTCATCTCCAGATATTGGCAAATGTTGCGTATATAATCATTGATAGTAGCGAAGAAGCAGAGCTAAATTACGGAACTTGGAAGAAGATACTCATATTTGTTGGTATGTAAATCAGTAGTCACATTTATATCACAATAATTTCAGTGATCAAGTCCAGACATAGGTAATTAATTAAGGCCAGAGGGGGGGGGGGGGGGGGGGGCGGGTAAATGACCATTTTTCCAGTTTTCACTGTATATGTGATCGAGCTGTTGGAGATGAACAAGTAGAAAAAACCGCATAAAAATCTGACCTTGCGTTGCTGAGATATTGCGCCAAAATTTGAGGTTTACCTGTAGTTACATGTAAAACTTAAACTTTAACTCTAAATATTTTTTTTCAAGTTAGAGGAAAAAAAGAAAATTAGGGATAAAGTTAACCTCATATTTCAAGAATTTTTTTTATTGAAATCTTTCAATTATTATCATCAGAATTTATTACAATATCAATGTTGTATAGAATTTCTAAAAATGGACTAGAGAAACCAAAAAATGCCTTGACAAGTGTACAGCGATGATAACAATCAGGGGACACCAATACACCCAAATAACCAAACAAAAGGCCTCGAGAGACCTGATGAAAAGTCGAGCAATTACATTGGGCCCCAAGTGCAGAAGGAGAAAAATGGGCAAATAATATGAGCTGTGAACTTAGGAGGCATTTCTAGGTTTTTAAGAATAATTGCCACAACCCAAAAATTCTCAATTACAATTGGCTGATTTGTAATATTTCCAATGGAATGAAGTTTTAACGATAAAATTTAAATAATTGAATATAAAAGACTAAATCAAAATTGTATCCGAATAAAGCAAAAATGCGTGATGAGTACCTCAAAAAAAATAAAAACAAAAATAATAGAGAAATACACTACCCGTAGTCAGGAGAAAAAGAATTGTCAGGATCTGAACTAGGGTCAATATCTACAGATGCAGTACAAACATGTTCCTTCCAGATGTGTTTAATAAGTTCTGTTTTAAACACACCTGGTCTGATAATCTCTCGAAGGGAAAGAGGAAGTCGGTTCCAAGTGAGATGAGCTCGATAAAAGTAAGATTTAGATATAGCTGAGCCAGGTGGAATTGAAGATATTACTGATAAGTGATCAAGATGTGAGCTTCTCAGTCGGCTTGACCCGGAGAAGAAAGTAAGGTACTGAGGCAGAGTGGTGCATGGGTGGTATTGATGCACTAGGGAATGAAAGAACTTGAGATCATGGTAATCAAACCTGTACTTTAGGGGCAGAATATTTAACTGTTTACAATGGGCATTATAGATTTCCTCTACACTATAGCTTACACCGTAATCATTACGAATCCATTTGAGGGCCCTTTTCTGCAATCCTTTAAGCCTATTGATAGTGCTACTGGACGCTGGTCGCCAAATGATGGGACAGTGTTCGAATATTGAGCGTACAAGAGTAAGATACAAGACTCTTCTCTTGTTCAGATCATTAATAAAATGACAATTTCTCTTAAGCATGCCAAATTTTTGGTTAGCTTTACCATATAGAGCATCGGCCTGGCTATTAAAATTTAGATTAGACGTCATGATTATGCCTAAATCTTTTTCAGAATCTGTATAATCAAGAAGAGTTTGGCCCATAGAGTAAGTGTAACGTGTAAATGGTAAAATAAGAGGCAAATATCTAAATTCTGAACAATAGAATTTTGTGAAACAGTCTAAGGAACACCTGTGCCAAGTTTCAGGTCCTGGGTGTGGCCAGTCTTTTCCAAAAGTTGAGCTTTCTACGGAAAATAGCCATTTCCCGTAAAACGAGTTTTAAAGTGTTTTTATTCCACTGTCAAAATCTCAAATTTTGCATTGTTTTCCGTATTTAGTAGCGTCTCCTTATAATTTTTGCTTTAAGGTGAGAAGATGTTTATTGAGATACTTTATGTCGGGAAAATCAATATCATAAACCAAAATTTGTCTAAAAATGAGGTTAAATATCATGATATCTTGTAGTAGTAGTAAAAATATGATTGTTAACCTCGCTATAGACCATAGTCCATATTACACTGGGATTGGTTTATCAATACATTGTTATACCTTTATACATGTAATAAAACATTTGTCCAGTGTAACGATTACGTTTTTGAGGTTAAAATGTGATTGACTGGCCTGATATTCAACAAATGAGAGGTTAACCTCATTTTGTAGCCATTTGCGGGTGAACTCTTCTACTTAAATATGGTCAGTTGAAATCACCTTTGTCACATGATCATATTTGAGGCACTGGAATACAAATAGATACCTCACTGCGATATTGTGGTACATAACAAAGTAAGAATCGTAATTCGTATGTAAATAATTGGGATAATTCTTACAGTACCAAATGTGATGGTTAACCTCATTTTCAACACTAAAATGAAGTAAATCAGCACTACATCTATTTAGAAATTTGTATGTCGTAATCTTACGATGAAAACGACAACTCTATCATCTAATCTATTTTCGCTATACCTAAATTGAGAGGTTAACCTCATTTATAAACGTTTAGATTATATCTAAAGTTAAATTGGGAAAAACGTGGTCCATCTCGTGCAAACTTTCCTAATGACCAGGGTCCAATAATGATGTATTTTGTTTTACAGTGAGTAGAGACTCTCATTTCTTACCTAGTAAACTATCGGTAATTCTTAATTTATCAAATTGAGCGGGAAATATATATTTCATTTCATTTTATGCAACTTTTGTCGACACAATGTCCTTCCCATTCTTATTCCATTCCCCTCAGATTTGCTGTGTTGTGGAGCTATTATATTCCCATTCTTATTCCATTCCCCTCAGATTTGCTGTGTTGTGGAGCTATTATATTCCCATTCTTATTCCATTCCCCTCAGATTTGCTGTGTTGTGGAGCTATCATATTCCCATTCTTATTCCACTCCCCTCAGATTTGCTGTGTTGTGGAGCTATTATATTCCCATTGTTATTCCACTCCCCTGGTCAGATTTGCTGTGTTGTGGAGCTATTATATTCCCATTCTTATTCCACTCCCCTCAGATTTGCTGTGTTGTGGAGCTATTATATTCCCATTCTTATTCCACTCCCCTCAGATTTGCTGTGTTGTGGAGCTATTATTTTCCCATTCTTATTCCACTCCCCTCAGATTTGCTGTGTTGTGGAGCTATTATATTCCCATTCTTATTCCACTCCCCTCAGATTTGCTGTGTTGTGGAGCTATTATATTCCCATTCTTATTCCACTCCCCTCAGATTTGCTGTGTTGTGGAGCTATTATATTCCCATTCTTATTCCACTCCCCTCAGATTTGCTGTGTTGTGGAGCTATTATATTCCCATTCTTATTCCACTCCCCTCAGATTTGCTGTGTTGTGGAGCTATTATATTCCCATTCTTATTCCACTCCCCTCAGATTTGCTGTGTTGTGGAGCTATTATATTCCCATTCTTATTCCACTCCCCTCAGATTTGCTGTGTTGTGGAGCTATTATATTCCCATTCTTATTCCACTCCCCTCAGATTTGCTGTGTTGTGGAGCTATTATATTCCCATTCTTATTCCACTCCCCTCAGATTTGCTGTGTTGTGGAGCTATTATATTCCCAGTGATGTGGTCAATAAGACATCTTCAACAAGCTACCGAGGTAAGTGTTGTCCTAAACAAGCTTTAATTTATTTACATTTACATTGTTCACACCTCATTAAAGCTGCTGGGACTGGAATTTATGTACAAATGATCAACGATGGAACTCACAGAGCCATTGTACAAAAGCTAGCAGCTGCTTACATTGCATGATTGCGTTTTGCGATAATCCTAACGAACTTGTTTACTGTTTTAACAGGCCCGTGTTTACTGTTTAACAGTGTTCTGCATCTGAGGTCACGTGTTTAATGTGCAGATCACTGATTTACACGTGATTGGGTAAAACAACATAATTATACAAAATGTTTTAATAAACATATAATCATCATTCAATTTGACAACTAATCTCATACTCATTACTCAGAGGTCAGATAACAAGACGACGCTTGTGCTATCACAGCTGAAACTGTTCCGACACTTCTACATACTTGTTGTTGTCTACATCTACATCACCAGAATAGCTCTCAAGTTTATGGAGGTAAAATCGTCAGTCCTATAATGTGAATCCAGTGACAACTGTTGTCCTTTAGTGCCTATTAAATAGTTAAAGCTTTGTTTAACGGAGGGTATATTCTATTTCAAATATAACTCCACTTTTGTCCTATTTGACGACCACTTACATTTTTCATAATCGCACCGTTTTTGTAGGTTTTTTCCAAGCAAATAACTTACTAAATATAAATTACTAAATAACTTACTAAATAACTTACTAAATAACTTACTAAATAACTTACTAAATAACTTACTAAATAACTTACTAAATAACTTACTAAATAACTTACTAAATAACTTACTAAATAACTTACTAAATAACTTACTAAATAACTTACTAAATAACTTACTAAATAACTTACCAAATAACTTACTAAATAACTTACTAAATAACTTACTAAATAACTTACTAAATAACTTACTAAATAACTTATTGAATAACTTACTAAATAACTTACTAAATAACTTACTAAATAACTTACTAAATAACTTACTAAATAACTTACTAAATAACTTACTAAATAACTTACTAAATAACTTACTAAATAACTTACTAAATAACTTATTGAATAACTTACTAAATAACTTACTAAATAACTTACTAAATAACTTACTAAATAACTTACTAAATAACTTACTAAATAACTTACTAAATAACTTACTAAATAACTTACTAAATAACTTACTAAATAACTTACTAAATAACTTACTAAATAACTTACTAAATAACTTACTAAATAACTTACTAAATAATTTACTAAATAACTTACTAAATAACTTACTAAATAACTTACCAAATAACTTACTACATAACTAACTAACCTACTTAATAACTAACTAACTAAATAACTTACTAAATAATTTACTAAATAATTTACTAAATAATTTACTAAATAACTTACTAAATAACTTACCGAATAACTTACTAAATAACTTTCTACATAACTAACTAACCTACTTAATAACTAACTAACTAAATAACTTACTCAATAATTAACTAAATAAATAACTTACTAACTAAATAATTTACTAATAACTGACTAATAACTGACTAATAACTGACTAATAACTGACTAATAACTGACTAATAACTGACTAATAACTGACTAATAACTGACTAATAACTGACTAAATAACAAGGTCGGCAAAAATAAAGTTATCCTTTCGCAACAGTTATGTTTCACTATTCATTTTCCGCCAGGAATTCTCTATTAACTCCTAAGGCTCAGGTAGCACGCTTAAAGCATGGCATGGGGTACGTGATATCAGATTTACACAGTGGGAAGTTTTAGGGTAGCCCAATTAAGGTGTCGCGTCACATAATCACCCAATCACTTTTTCTAACACGATAAACTAAATGCTTGATAACTCATTTATTTCAAATCGTCATTGTTGGAACATGTAATAATCTACCGTCTTTGAAAAAATTAGGCGTCCAGCATGTTCAGAGAGAACAATATAGGTGTTTTAATAATGAATGGGCGTGGTCTAAAATACTCGAATTTTCAAATTTTGATGACAAAATCCTCGAACCAGAAGGTACAGTATGCTATCTGCAAAGCAACAGCTCTCAAATATAAAACACGGCAGAGCTATTAAGGCCAACGTATGTCCAGTGACTTTTGGCCCACCCTGTATGTACCGTTGGGCCTAACTAACTAAGTAAATAACTTATTTTATAATTAGCTAACTTAATAACTTACAAACTAACTAACTAACTAACTAACTAACTAACTAACTAACTAACTAACTAACTAACTAACTAACTAACTAACTAACTAACTAACTAACTAAATTACTAACTAAATAACTAACTAACTAAATAACTAACTAACTAACTAACTAAATAACTTACTAACTAAATAACTAACTAACTAACTTAATAACTTACTAACTTAATAACTTACTAACTAAATAACTTACTAACTAAATAACTAACTAACTAACTAACTAACTAACTAACTAACTAACTAACTAACTAACTAACTAACTTACTAACTAAATAATTAACTAACTAAATAACTTACTAACTAACTTAATAACTTACTAACTTACTAACTAACTAACTAACTAACTAACTAAATAACTTAGTAACTAACTAAATAATTAACTAACTAAATAACTTACTCGCTAACTAAATAACGTACTAATTAACTAAATAACGAACTAACTAACTTACTAACTTACTAACTAACTAACTAACTAACTAACTAACTAACTTACTAACTAAATAACTAACTAAATAACTAACTTACTAACTAAATAACTAACTAACTAACTAACTTACTAACTAACTTACTTACTAACTAACTAACTAACTAACTAATTAACTAAATAACTAACTAACTAACTAACTAACTAACTAACTTACTAACTAACTAACTAACTAAATAACCAACCAACTAACTAACTAACTAACTAACTTACTAACTAACTAACTAAATAACCAACCAACTAACTAACTAACTAACTAAATAACTTACTAACTAACTAATTAACTAACTAACTAACTAACTAACTAACTAACTAACTAAATAACTTACTAACTAACTAATTAACTAACTAACTAAATAACTATTTAACTAACTAACTAACTAACTAACTAACTAACTAACTAACTAACTAACTAACTAACTAACTAACTATTAACTAACTAACTAACTAACTAACTAACTAACTAACTAACTAAATAACTTACTAACTAACTAATTGACTAACTAACTAACTAACTAACTAAATAACTAACTAACTAACTAACTAACTAACTAACTAACTAACTAACTAAATAACTAACTAACCTATTCTCCAGGTGGTTTTACCGTTCCAACTAGCGTGGTGTACTAACTTTATGGACGAGATTGCAACTATAGCATTCTTCCTCATAACAGGTATCATCAAACATCAATTAATTATGTAGTTAACTAAGTTTTAAGAAACTTATTAAATAAAATTTGCGAAATGAGTTGACTAAATAATCACCCTTTACCCAGGCTGGAACTTTAGACCCTACATATCGAACCCCTACTACAAGGTAGTAGAGGAGGATGATGAGATGGAAATGGAGAGTATGATCGAGAGCGACACTCTCCGGAACCGAACTCATGCTGATGACGAGGATGACACTACCCTCGCCTGATGACGTCACTAGTGACACTACCCTCGCCTGATGACGAGGAGGACACTACCCTCGCCTGATCACTCGGGGAGTCATTGACTGATTAGTTGATTAGTTGTTATCAAATTGAAGTTGGGTGAATTATGCGCAGAGTGGACATAACAGAGAGCCTGGTGATAAAAATTTCGTAGTTGTAGATAGATACTTTTTTGCAGTTTATTGAGATACAGCGAGCTTGTCAAATGGTATATTCGCCTGGCTTGATAGGATAATTGTAAGTATGTTGCTATAGAGTATAGTGTGTTGCTATAGTGTGTTGATATAGTAACTGCCTCTTTGTTCTATAATTTGTACAGCTATATTTACGAGTCATCATCAGTTTAGATAAGATATCACAGTAATGTTGTTTAAAATGTAATTTTCCGTGTTCAACACTATGATTATTGATTATTTAAAGTAATATTGAAAGCCTCTATTATGTACACTATTATCTACACTGATTATGTACACTCTCTTAGTATAGGGATCGTTCACACTTCACTTATTACATGTCGGAGAGAGGGATTTAAAATTGTAGATTTTACAACAACTCAAATAGAGCTCTTGTAGTGCTTACTATAAGTGTTTAATTAATTAGCAGTTAATTAGTAATTGATAAACGAATTAATAGCAGAAGTGTTGTAATATTTATTATAGTTCTCACTAATATTGTTATTACAAAATTTGTTTTCGATGCTGAGTAGTTAATAGTCTATCATTACACCACGTGACGAGTAATTAAATTGTCAATATCACTTATATAGTACCTTTAAGTTTAAATAACATTCTCCGTTAAATTAAATAATAAAGTTAGCTAAACTGCAGCACTCGGATCCAGACTGTCGCTGTCTGAATCGAAATTCTGTTAATATTTTCCAGAAATGACACAGAATTTTCATCATTACTTGCATACTACAATATCTTACATACTAATAACGAGTCCCTATTTTAGCTGATAGCAAAATGGACGAGAAAGTATCTAATGAGGACATCAAATTAGTAAGTACCAACTGAGGGGCCGGGAGGGTGTGGGGTTGGAGGGGACACATAGTACCAACTGAGGGGCCGGGAGGGTGTGGGGTTGGAGGGGACACATAGTACCAACTGAGGGGCCGGGAGGGTGTGGGGTTGGAGGGGACACATAGTACCAACTGAGGGGCCAGGAGGGTGTGGGGTTGGAGGGGACACATAGTACCAACTGAGGGGCCGGGAGGATGTGGGGTTGGAGGGGACACATAGTACCAACTGAGGGGCCGGGAGGGTGTGGGGTTGGAGGGGACACATAGTACCAACTGAGGGGCCAGGAGGGTGTGGGGTTGGAGGGGACACATAGTAAGTACCAACTGAGGGGCCGGGAGGGTGTGGGGTTGGAGGGGACACATAGTACCAACTGAGGGGCCGGGAGGGTGTGGGGTTGGAGGGGACACATAGTACCAACTGAGGGGCCGGGAGGATGTGGGGTTGGAGGGGACACATAGTACCAACTGAGGGGCCGGGAGGATGTGGGGTTGGAGGGGACACATAGTACCAACTGAGGGGGCCGGGAGGGTGTGGGGTTGGAGGGGACACATTAGTAAGTACCAACTGAGGGGCCGGGAGGATGTGGGGTTGGAGGGGACACATAGTACCAACTGAGGGGGCCGGGAGGGTGTGGGGTTGGAGGGGACACATAGTAAGTACCAACTGAGGGGCCGGGAGGGTGTGGGGTTGGAGGGGACACATAGTACCAACTGAGGGGGCCGGGAGGGTGTGGGGTTGGAGGGGACACATAGTAAGTACCAACTGAGGGGCCGGGAGGGTGTGGGGTTGGAGGGGACACATAGAAAAGAGAGGGGATTCTTACCATTGAGGTGTGCATTGTGAACGTTAGGCAGTACAGGACGATGTGGCTACATAAGATTTGCTAATGCGTACCCACTATCTGTAGCCAGTACAGGACGATGTGGCTACATGAGATTTGCTAATGCGTACCCACTATCTTCAGGAACAGAAACAGACTCTATCCTGGTCAGACAAGCTAAAACCAGCCAATCCTATAGGATTCGCTATCTCCTCCGCCGTCTCTATTACTGCTGTACTCGTATTCTTCTTTGCTATTCCTTGTCCTGAGGATAACTAAACTCCATTAATTAACTCAAGTAATTCTAATCAAAAGTTATAATTAACTTAACCAATCAGATCAGAAAATGTTAAAACTAAAACAATTCTAATCAGACAACTTTTTTTTGCGGAGAATATGAAAAACTCAAAAACTGATTTTATTAGAATTACTCTATCAGAACTTAGCATAATTGAAATGTGAATGTTTGTCTATTTTTACACACATTACTTTAAAATACAGACGGTTTTTACTGTTTAATATATTATGTCACTATATATATTATGCTAGAATTTATTAACTAAAATATCTTTTAAAAGTTCAGCTGTAAATAATATTCTTGTGTTACAAACGGTTTATTTAAAATCTATGGGACTTTCAGCTTTTTCGATATTTACAAATATATACAATTGAGTTTTGCTGTGTAGCTGTGTGATTAGATGAACTTTAGCTTAAAGTTAAGGCCAGAGGGGGGGGGGGGGGGGGGCCTTACTATTTTGTATAGTTTACAATAGTGTTACCCCTAGACCACATACGTTATATTATGTGATCCATCATTTTACTGACTTATCACAATGTGTAAATACTAATGTAAACTCAATTAGATTTAAATTAAAAATCGCTGACTAATCATATTTATCTGGTCGTTTAAAAAGACCATATCATGCTGGCTTGATATGAATACAAACAAACACGTACGATTAAGAAATACATTTTAACTCACGCTCATACAGTGTTACAGCTGGAGTTGCACGACTTGTTACATTCTGTCACTGACTAGAATTGTAACGTAACCGAACTATTGGTAAATCTAATTGGCCACTTAGTTGGTATAGCTCAAAATACCCCTGTCACATACGGACTTAACACAATTAAAAAGCTTATGAAAAATGAAAGTGTTGAATTTTAAGTGATCACTGATCCCAAGGGCCAGTCTGATTTGTTAACTCTGTATAGTATAGTGTACTCAAATGTACATAACAAAAACAATTTGCGTAGTACTTAATTATAAATTGTGTTTACAGTGAGGCAATGGCAGAAAATATCCCCTTTCTTGATGTAATGTCATTTACACATCAAGGATACAACAAGGATACTGAGTCAGTATCCTTACTGATAGCATAACAGAAATATAATTTCAAAATCTTAAGGTGTTGAAGATCGTCTAACCCATGGCCATCATTACACAACAGTACTCAATATTCATTCGATATAATATGTTAATTAATTTTGGTCACTGTGAGGGGCGCAGAGATGGAAGAATACTTAATGCTTTTCAAACAAAGCTATTACGAATTCTTCATGTAGTGCATCCTGGGTTTGGACAGGATATGCCCGTTTAAAATATTTATATTTCCATCACATTACATTACATAATTCTCAATAAATGTAAAAGATTAGTAATAATTTAGTATAGTAGTGTTGTAATTAATAATTCAGCAACGTAAGGTCAGAATAAAAATCTGCCCTTACGTTGCTGAATTATTACGCGCCAAAGTTTGAGGTTTACCTGTATTAATTATAATATATCATGACGTGACAATAAGAAACGATACGATAGTTATTGAAAAGAGCAACACAGAGTTATTATAAAGGTGAGCCCTACATAATGACATACTATCTGGAAGTTGGAACTGCTTTATAGTAATCTCAGTAATCCCCATATTATGTAGTTATTGTACACTGAATGTTAACCCACCACTGTCAGGCAGTGGTTCACACTCTGTTGATATCTCACTAGTGAGATTTGTGGGTTCTCACCATTCTTAAAGTCGAGTGTGTCCCACAACCAAGCACTCTGCCTAGAAGTCCTACATTATATAATTTTATATAATGATCTGGACATAAGTGGCAAGTAGCTCTTGAAAACAAACAAACAAACAAACAAATAACCCACCACTGCCTCTAGGATTTAGGAGTGAACGCTTTATGATAAGGATTGTTAGCAGACTATTCGCACGAGCAGGCCCACTGTATTACAGAGTCACCACGCCCCTAGAGCACGCCCATCTGAGGATCTGCACCAGAGTTTACTGTGAGTTTACGGATATTCCTCCACCGAGTGCTGCATTCTTTACTAAGTAATGAATTCCTTTTAAGTGCTATTACTCCAGCCTCACCTGTCATTATTCGTCAGTTTTTGAGAATGTTTTGAATTTTTGTCATTACAACCAAATAAATTACGAAAATTATCGAAAATTAAAAGTAATCAAGGATCTGAAAACATTCCCGTCTAAAATACTTCCACCCCGGGGTTTGATACTTGGGATATCTCAAGGGACTCATCAGAAACAAATTTAACTTGGGTAGAAATTTTGACTATAAGTATGGTTTTGCGCAATTGACATCGCCCTTTTTTGGCGCCTTCGCGACATCTAAATCAAAATCACTCCGCGTCTGATTGGAGCTCCACTTGTAGGGGTAGAGCATGAGTTATGTAACCACGCCTTTTTGCGCTCTCGTGAGTAGCAATTACAGCATTTAATACAAGATATCCTGGTTTCTAATGCCGATGTAATGGGAGCTAAGCGCTAATATTGGACGTTAAAATGTCCATAATTATCACATTGGGGTCAGGCTTCACGTTGTTCAGTTATTATGCCACACTCTATTTTTACGCTCTTACATGTAAGAATTACCACACTTATTTCAAGAAATCCAGGCTTCTAATTGTAGTTATTTATTTATTAATTATCAAACTTTACACAAATCCAAAGTAGTTACTAAGAACATCCTAAAGACCTGATGGGGGGGGGGGGGGGCCAATGGCATAAATGGAGAAAATGGAGAATTACTCATAGGTTTTTCCATTTTCTCCATAGAAATAGTCTCCATTTTATGCCATTTTATGCCATTTTATGCCATTGAAAACCTGAAAAATTTAGAATTTCGAGAAAAATTATTTAAAAAAAAGATATTTTCGGCCAATAATGAACAGGGTATCATGAAACATGGAGAAAAGTGGTTTTTAGAAAAACTTTGAAAAATTTTGAAAAATGTTGACTTAGAAAATGTTCGGTCCGAGTCATTCTCGATACGTACCTCCCGTATCGAGAGCTCCCGATTCCGAGCTCGTGTTGCAAAGGGGAGGCCTGCCTTCCGAGATCGCATTACCTCGAGTCCAAAATTGTGTATCGAGGGGAAGGTGTGGACTTCGAAAAACCGAAAAAATATTTTCGGCAAATAATGAACAGGGTAGCATGAAACGTGGATAAAAGCGGTTTTCAGAAAAAATTTGAAAAATTTTGACCGAAAAAATATTTTCGGCTTATAATGAACAAGGTAGCATGAAACGTGGAGAAAAGTGTTTTTCAGAAAAACTTTGAAAAAGTTTGACTTAGAAAATTACCCCTCGGTACACAATTTTGGACTCGAGGCTTCCCCCTGGTAATGCGATCTCGGAAGGCAGGCCTCCCCTTTGCAACACGAGCTCGGAATCGGGAGCTCTCGATACGAGAGGTACGTATCGAGAATGACTCGGGCCGAAAATTTTCTAAGCCAAATTTTTCAAAGTTTTTCTAAAAACCACTTTTCTCCACGTTTCATGCTGCCCTCTTCATTATTAGCCGAAAATATTTTTTTGGTTTTTCGGTTTATCGAAGTCTACACCTACCCCTCGATACACAAATTTGGACTCGAGGCTTCCCCCTGGTAATGCGATCTCGGAAGGCAGGCCTCCCCTTTGCAGTGCGAGCTTGTTTCGACTTTCGAGGATGTAGGTCTCACTTCTCAGTGCCTATTACTCTCCCCTATTACTCACTCCTGCTGTAGCCTGTAGAAATAACTTTACACTAGGCTTGAGTAATTATGAGTTTGCCTGAAGTGTGCCTCTACTAACCTAGTATAAGCATCTAGTAGCCTACTATGAGCTTTCATAAGCTTGTTACGCCCCTAGTAAGCGTAAATAAACATGTTAGGATGTCCAATTTAGGTGTTAAATGGTGTTAAAGATGAAATTTCGAAGACAAAATTCATGGCATAAAATGGAGAATTACTCATGGGTTTTTCCATTTTCTCCATAGAAAAAGTCTCCATTTTATGCCATTTTATGCCATTTTATGCCATTGGCCCCCCCCGACCTGATAATTCTACTTAAAAGACTTGCAGAACTGAAAACTTACTATAAATGCAAAAAATGGAACTTAAAACTGAAATTATCAAAATCAAAAATTATGCAAAGAATTGAACTTAAAACTGAAATTATAGAACTAAACAAATTCAAAATAAATTTCTCCACAATTGGCGGTTCGAGGCTGAATACCTTAAGTCTGTCAAGTCGTCACTATTATTCAAATAAATATTTCTTTTATTCAAATCGTTTAAAATAGTTTTAAAAATATTACATTGATGTCTACCAATCCTACCCCTCATATTTGACATACTATCAACAGCAAAATTTAGAGCTAGTTGTAGTAAGGAGTTCAACTAGGGCATTTACTTATTTATATTGTTAGAGCTCGCTTTATATTGTTAGAGCTCGCTTTATATTGTTAGAGCTCGCTTTATATTGTTAGAGCTCGCTTTATATTGTTAGAGCTCGCTTTATATTGTTAGAGCTCGCTTTATATTGTTAGAGCTCGCTTTATATTGTTAGAGCTCGCTTTATATTGTTAGAGCTCGCTTTATATTGTTAGAGCTCGCTTTATATTGTTAGAGCTCGCTTTATATTGTTAGAGCTCGCTTTATATTGTGACACTTCCTTATTATATCCCACTGCTGACTGCTTTAGTTTATAAGACATTAAGTGCTTTTTTTTCTTCTTGTTATAGGCTATCCATTATCGGTATGAAATCTTTTATCTAGAGGGGTGGCAAGCCCCATACGATCTGTTGTCCAGGGTATTTTCATTTGGACGTCCCATGAATATTTTTAATAGATCAATAATCACACATAAAAACATTCAATACTTGGGGGCAAAATGTTTGAAAATGATTCCAACAGATTCTTCGAAATCTGCCCGAATGTTAAAAGGCTGTTATGATTCTTATAAGTAAACAGCTTACTCTCAACTATGACAACAGACTCATATTTTATACCGCGACAATTCATATGACAAATTTTACACTGCAATCCATAGTCGACGATTACTAAGGTATCTGGACCTATTTCTTATAAATCTGAGGCATATATAATTGATGTATCGAAAGATTTGCCCCTTTTTTACCACCTTTACATTTTGATTGGATGTTGCACAATGTACTGACATGTTTTAACTGGAGAAGGGTCGCACAGTGTAGGTGAGAGACTAGAGGCGAGGCGAGAAGAGAAGAGAGATGACCTAGTTTTAAGCTTGGGTAGTTGTATAGTCACCACTTTTAATTTTATGTACTTATTTATTGCGGAGTGAGGTAGTGGTGGTATGGGGGTGGTTGACGTGTGTGATCAGTCACTGTTTTTATCATTTGTGATTTATGTGGAGAAGTGTTATTGTCGAAATCATTGAATTGGTTTGTTTAGATATGGTGGAGGTGTATAGATAGTTGATATTTAATTTGTTAAATAAGGATTAGTAGAGAGCTGTGCGCTTTGTGTGTGGGTTTTTATTATTGTGTTTGTTATATTGAGAGGGGTATAATTTGTTATTGAATGTGTATTTGTTTATATATGGTGAATGATGGTGAAGATTTTGGTGGGATATGATGTAGGATTTGTATGTTGTATAGGTGTTATGTTGAGAATGGGTTTGTTGGTGGTGTATGACAGAAGGTATAAAGAAGTGATTTAATGTTGCATTCTATTATATTGACGAGAGTTTAATGATGGAAGATGGAAGTTGATTCTATATAATTTACACTATATGGGGGTGGGCATGTTGCATAGGTAAATATGGTTACTAACTCCTATATATCATAATTGATTTGATTGGTATTCGAGTTTGATATTTCTCTAGGAATATAATTATTAAACTCAATTTTGCTTTAGGTAGGGTGCCCCGCTAAAAGAAATGAATTCTTCCAGGAAGCATCCCGTGCACAACCTTGGTCTACATAAATATTAAATTATTAACCATTTCATTCTGTATGTGCCACGAAAATTTATGTCAATCAAAAACATAACCAAATTACACAATGAATGAATAACAATAAATCTCTCAAAAGTAACTCCGATAAAATCAGAATTTTCTAGTACAAAATGTATGAAATTCAAAGGACCTGAGGTCCACCAAAACACAGATGTGAGAGCAAAATGCACCCCTGCACAAGTATGGGCCCACGAATCGTGAATTTCAAATAGATATCAAAAGAATCACACAAAAATATCAAAAGCAATCAATCATATAATAAAGCGAAATCCATGAAGGGATTATGCACTAAATGAGAAGAGAAATAACAGACAACAGGGATTTAAGCTCTATGAACATATTGTTAGCATTAGGTAGACAGCCCTCACATGCGATCTCTATCTCCCTCGAGAGAATAATCTATATCATAATCAGAGTCCCTCCGGCAGAATTTTTATCCCACATGTAGAGGTCAATTTGGCTTTTGAACTCAGAAATTAATCTCTATCTCAAGTATAGCAGAGGAATATGATTCCATTTGGAAATGGGTCCCTAAAGTAAACGTTCATAGCAAAAGCGTTTAGAGCTTGCTTTTGTAAGATTGAGAGCTTACAAAACATATAAGGTCCTTGTGGCTATTTCCTTAACCTTGAGTGGCCTTGAAATGGTTGCAAATATGCGGGAAAGTGACAGGTATAATTTTTTGATAAATAGTACTTACAAGGACCCATCAATCTAAGAGATATATAATATGAAGGACAAAGTCCAGACTAGATGAATAATTATTTATTTGGCTGAAGAGTTTGATTGAAATAAATTTTCGCGCACATACAGAAATGAATGGTTTAATAATTTAAATATATAGGTAGACCAAGCACTGTGCACGGGATGCTTCCTGAAAATCCGTTCTTTTAGCGGCACCCTACCTAAAGCCAAATGAGATAAAATAATCATATCCCTAGAGAAATAATCAGAAATCGAATACCAATCAATAATATGATAATATGAGTAGTAAACCATATTTTACTATGGCA